AATACTGGGGCTAGTGTCCCAAGATGCCCAAGTAGTCACCTTGTCTTCTTTTAAGGAATGATCTCTTCCCCAATGCAACAGTGCTGGTGGGTCTTGGTGTCCAGGCACCAGCCCTTCCCTGGCCAAAGTGCAGACACAAGACACTGGGTGAGACGCTCCCTGGGGACTTTGCCCTGTCAGTCCTAAGGAGGCTGTACCCAGTTCCACTCCCCAGAGCAGCCCCAGACCTCCAGCCTTCCCATCGACCCCATGAGCCTCCTGATCGCCTTCCTGTCCATCCCCTTCCTCTCCAGTTAACCAGTGGCTTCCGCTGCTCACAGCCGAAGAACCCTGATAGGGATGGAGTCACGTAGGGACTGAAGCAGTGAATTTCCCAAACCGAGAGAAAAACAGGCCGGAGGATTCCATTGTCTATTCACTAAGCCCAGATCACCACACCTCGGATTTTGAGCTAATTAGGCCTGAAAGATGAGACTACATCCCATCAGCCTTTGCACACCTCACATTTGACCATGATGACTTCAGACACCCAGCAACCAGCCTCATAATTCCAGGCCTGTGTGTATGCAGTGCCCTGCCTGACCCGAGAGGCTGTCAGGAAGGTTCCCTAGGCACAGAGGCAGCCCCTCCATGCCGGGAGCTCAGTTCCACACAAAGAAAGCAGCCGAGGCAGCGTCTGGGGAGAAAGAAAGATCGTCCTCAAAACCAGGTGACCCCTTCCCCTGCCCACAGACTCCCCGCCAGAACAGGGGCCCCAGCCGCCCTGGGAAAACCAGTCCAAACAGCTGCAGACCAGCTTTCTTCAAATATCTCAGAGGCCAACAGGACAGAAAGCCTGTCCCAGCCTGCCTGTCCAAGCCTGCCTGGTCACCCTGCACAAGTCTTCATCACGTGGGCGGAGCTTCCAGCCCTCCCTCCAAGCCCTCCCCCTAGAGGTTGTAAGTGGGACAGCAGGAGAAGCAGGTAAGTAGGACCCCTACCCAACAGACAGGGATACAAGGCTCGTCCCCGTTCATGCCAGCTCTAAGCATGGCTAACATTTCTGAGCACCCACCCTGTCTCACGCACCATTTGGAGCACTCTCTTCTGTGTGGACGAGTGTAATCTTCACCAAAACGCTCTATCTTCATCATCTCCATGTACAAGGGGAAACTGAGCCACAGAGAAAACCCAGCCAGGCAGGGCACAAGCCAAAATGTGAACCCAAGGAGCCTTGCTCTAAAAACCAGGCTCTTCCAAACCTTCATGCCATCCTGCATCTCGAATGGAAGGGCGGGGGGGACTGAGCAAGGGATCTAGGACCAGGGCAGCAAAGGAACCTACGTCCTAGCAGGAAAGACCACCAACCAACAAGTAATAAGAACTACAAGGTCATGGACAAGGGATATGAAGAACATCGGGGGTGATTTTGAGGAACCTTCTGGAACATCGCAAATGTTCAATCACCTTGTTCTGGGTTGTGGTCCCACAAGCGCACCTGTGTTAGAAGTTCATCAAGCTGTACACTCAAGATTTAAAAGGTACCAGAAAAGAATCTTCAAACGGCAGATGGTGGGAGGCTACAGATAAGTAAGGAGAGAAGGCTGGAATGATCCATGCAGTAATGGATCAGAATTGGAGACAGTAGTATGAACTCATTTAATTTGATATACAGAAAGAGAGAAGTATCTATAGCTATGAGTATACAGATGGGCTCGTATACGTGTTTCTTCGCTCTGTCTGCTGAGAAGACCCAAAACAAAGTCGCATCAGTAGCGATGAACACACTGAGCACTCAGATCTTGGCTTCTATTGCTCTTCTCCAATAAACGAAGTGTCAGGAGTCCTTGGAGAAATGACTAATTCTAGGGCTGTGGCAGGAAATGATGGCATCCCCCCAATGATGTCAAAGAGATACTGAAATGCTCCCAATGGCCAAAGCTGAAGTAATTTCAGCAATAAAGTAAATAAATAGTATTGGACCATATAACCCAAAGTAGAAAATAAATGAGTCCATGATGATATAAATAAATGAATAAATAAATAAATGAGGGGAAGAGACAAAATCTCCCATACAGAAGAATTCCGAATAATTTAAGTAGATATTCTGGCCGTAAGTCGGAGGACAGTAGCTCCCCACTGCATGTGAGCTGGGTGGGCACTGTGACTTCCTAGAGGGTACAGTATGGAGGGGAGAAAACTGACAAATGCACCTGAGCCAGGAGATCAGGTCATCATCATCAGTTTATAATACGCAGCCATGATTCGATGTAATTAAATGACCCTTTACTCTGCGGTCTTCCTCCCCAAAACGCATTATTCCTTTCTACCCAAGTCCAATCATGAGGAAAACATCAGCTAAATCCCAGATGAGGGACACCCTACAAAATACCTGGCGAGAGTACTCCTCCAAACCATCAAGGTCATCAAAAACCAAACCTGAGAAGTTGTCAGAGCCAAGACAAGGCGAAGGAAACACAGTAACGAACTATAATGCGGTATCCTGGACGGTCCGGGAACAGCAAGGGACCTTGGTGGAAAAACTAAGGAAACTGAACAATGCGCGGCCTTTAGTTGGTAATAACGTACCAATATCAATTCGTTATTGTAACAAGTGAACCACAGTAATGCAGGAGGTGAATGGCAGGAGGAAAACTCAGTGTGGGGGTGGGGGTGAGTGATTCGAGAACACTGCACTATCTTCACACCTTATCTGGAAATCTGAAATTTGGGGGTTTTTTTGTTAATGCTCACCCAAGGATATTTTTTCCATTGATTCTTAGAGAGTGGAGGGGGGTGGGGTTGAGAGACAGAGAGAGAAGCGTCGATGTGAGAGACAGACACGTTGATTGGTTGCCTCCTGCACGCACCCTGACTGGGGACTGATCAAACCTGCAACCCTTTGGTCTTTGGGCTGATGCTCTAACCACTGAGCAGAACCAGCCAGGGCTATAAGTTATTATTAAAAATAACAGAAAATGATGAAATGGCTCCTTTGCACTGAGTGGCCACTAAAGGCCGCTCCAAGGAGATGACATCTGAGATGAAGCTGAGAGGTGAGAAATAGGCAGCAGGACCCAGCAAAGGGCACAGGACACACGGGGTCCTAAAGAGGGGACAGAGGACAGGTGGCTCAAGTGAAGTCAGGGAGAGAAACGGTAGAAGGTAAACAGAATGTCACAAGGTGAACAAGTTGGCCCAGCTAGGTAGGGCACGGTCCCCTCAGACTGGAGCCTCGGGGTCCTGGAAGGTCAGTGGAAGGCGTTAGCAAGATGAGACTGATCGGATCTATGCTCTTTAGACCGTCCTGGCTGCTATAGGAGGAGGACTGGATTCAGGCAGATAAGAAGGAGGGACAATGGTCACCCCAGAGTGGCCACACTTCAGGTAGCACTGTCAGAGGGAGGTGCCACCATGTGAAGAGCTAGGAGTGTCTGGGGAGACAAAAGGAGAAGAGAGGTCACCACACTTAAAGGGAAGAGAATAGGGTACTCCACACATTCAGGGAAGGGGGTGTCCTGATCAGAGCTGTCCTCCTGCCCAGGGTGACAATCCCTGACTCTGCACCTCCTTGGAGACACTGCCACTTAGTACCTGTGAGACATTACCAGTAGGAACCTCAGTTTCCTTATCTGCAAAATGGGAACAACACCTCCTTCATAAGAAGGCGTTTTACTGATAAGAAAACAGAGGCACAGAGACAGAAGGTGCCCAAGCCCCATGGGAAACTGAACAGCAAGAAACCCCCCCCATCTCCCAGCTTCCTTTTTCTGGGTTCTCCCTCCATATTCTAACCACAACGGGGGTGAAGGAGGGAGCAAGCTGAACCATACTCCCCTGTCTCAAAATACCCCTTCAAGGAGGTTCTTTCCTTGCTCAAAACTCCCAGCTGATGGCCCCCCATGGGCTGGATGGGGCTGTGAGGAAGGAGGCCCACTGACTGCGCCCACCCTCCCAACGTCTCCTTGTTGCTCTCTCCCTTCCCCGCCCGGGGCACAGACCACCCACATGGGCAGCCTGGCCTTCCCACCTGGGGCGCCTGCCGCCTCCTCTCTGGACCATGCCAAGCCCCCATCTGGCAGGCCAGCCCCAGCAGCGGCCAGCCCCTCCTTTCCAGGTCACAGTCGTGACTGTCTGACCCTATCTCTGCCCAAAATGACAAGCTTACAAAAATCCTCAAAAAGCTGTTCTTCCCAGCGCCTGCAGGGAGCGGCTGTGTGTGCTGCTCTCTCCCAGCAAGATGGGAGTCTTTCCGGCTGTGAACAGCGCTCTCCCCAGCACAGGGCTGTGTTCAGCCCCTGGCCAAGGTACAACAACGCCGTGCTACAACCATTAAGTTTAAAGATGAGCATTTTCATCAACCAAAGATATGAAAAATACTCCAGCAGCTCATGTTTAAAAGCACCCTGGAGGCAAAAGTGAGTAACTGCGTCCCTTTTGGGGGAAGCTTCGGAACATCTCGCACACACCAAGTGAAAAGTACCAGCCCCTCCGTGAGAGGTCTGACGAGTCTGATACAGGTTTCTGTGTTAGAAGACATCGGCTGTGTCTACTCGAATTCGCTCAGTTTTGTCCTAAAGGCAAAGACCGGCCCCAGAAATCCAGAAAGTCCTTCGTTTTCCCCAACACTTCCGTGATTCCAAACGGGCTGTTTTATTAAAATCAGAAAACAAGCAGCAGCTGGAGATGGGTTTTTCCAGAACATACTTCATTTAAATTCTGATTCCTGAAAGTCACCCTGCAGAGAGGCACCCAGCCACCCTCCATCAAGATACAAAATCTGCGGTCCTGGACAATCCCTGACAGGTTGGTCTACCTGCACAGACTCGCAAGGGGAAGAGCAGCAAAAAGAGGACATTTCTCCGTAAATTAGGTTCATCCATCTAAGGTCCCACATCTCAAAATCAGAGGAGTGTTGCAACCTCGGCTCACGGAGCCACACTTCACTGCCTGACAACAAGAAAAAGAAATTCCAATTTCCTCCTGCGCCCTGGAATACATAACACGAGGCTCTCACTCACCTTTGGAGCGCGTGGAGATATCCATGCCCTCTACCACCTCCTGTTCTGTTTTGATTTCCTCTTCGGCCAAGCTGAAATAGAGAAAATTACATTCAGGTTTAGGGAGACCGAGAACTTGCCCCGTGGGGACAGCTATTTAGAAGTCCTTACAACACACACAACTTGAAGACAATCCCCCATCCTTATGTAGGGATGGGGGGCAAGAAACCCCCACAAAGTGTTAAGCCTCCTAAAGGAGTATTTTTTAAAACACCAGGTTGTTGGTTTTGTTTTGGTGTGGTTTTTTTTTTTTTAAGTCCAATTACTATCCCAGTTCTCATGCTATTGGGGGATGCGGGAAAAAAAAAATCATTTTTTTAGACACACAATTACAATCTGCCCCCATGGGCCAATGAGAACCCGGCCTTCGAGTAAACAAGTTTCTCATTGTTAACACCGGGTTCAGGTAGGAGGTGGTTTGCAGGGCATGCAGAGTTCTGATGTCTGAATCCTGGAAGGCAAGCGGCATTTCTCAGACCTCCCTGCTACATCTTACAATTTCCCGGATGAGGCAGGAACAGGGAAAAAAAAAAAAAAAAAAAGTACAGAATTACAAAGTAGAAAATTTTGCCCAGGCTAGAAGCAAAGGGCCCGGTGTCTCAAAACCTTCCAACCACCAGCATCTCTCGCGGGAACTGGGATGGGGTCTCCACACTCCCGCTCCCTGGATGGCTTAGAGAAAGCCGTCGGCCCTCCTTTGAGCTGTGACTAATTATCCCCCACCACAAAAGTGGAATGAGGAAGGATTCTTTGAAAGAAAGGCTGAGAGTTGGGGGTGGGGGAGGGAAGCAGGAAAGCAGGCCCCTGTGCTGGGAAGGTCCACCAGAATCTTCTCTCCCCTTCTCTGGAACTCCCCACTGAATGGAGGGCAGGCCGTCTCCTATCTTCCCACACACACACCTCAGCCAGTCAGGCTCTGATTCAGTGGGTGCAAACTGTGAGGTGCTGAACTTCCCCAACATTCAGGCTGCCAGCGAAGTGGGAAGCATCTGCACCGTTACCCTCATGCACCCCCATCAGACGGTGGTCCCACAAGAACGAGGTGCACCCCCAAATGCGATGGCTACAATTTTCCATTTGGAAGACTCAAAGCCAGGACAGGAGAGAGGCTGGGTAGGAAAGGAAGGATTAGAATGCCCCTTCTGTATTCCGTGCTCTGGGGCTCTCTGTGACAAAAGATGAGTCCCAAAGGGCCTGGTCCCATGGAGATAGGTTTAGGGGAGTTTCACGTTTGTTGGGAGAAGAGGGTTCAGAATGGAAACTAGATAGGAAAGAAGAGATGATAACTCAGAATTAAATTATGAGAACTTGGAGGCCTCAAACTTAACTCGTCCCAGCAGAGAGAAGAAAGGTAGTTGGGTCTTAAATCAGAATATTAACACCTTTCGCTCTCTGATACTGAACCCCGTTTACGATTTCATTTGCGCTGCATCTGGAGAGAAAGGCTATGACACAAATCACCAAAGAAACAACTGACAGGTTGTCACGAATGGTTTCCATCTGAAGAAAGCAGCCTTTTAAATTTAAACACATCGCTAACATGCAATAAAGACAACGGTGATGGTGGAAGGTGATTTTAGCACTAATACTTTGTACTCCGATTTAAGAGGCACACGTTGTCAACTCAGAAACACACCCAGCCTGCCACGCACACAGGTTGTCCAAATAGACCCTGGTGATGGTTTCTTGCTTGGGGTGACCGGAAATAAATTTTAACAAAAAACCCCAAGCAGCCTTCAGTGCAGACTTCAGAGACGGGTAGATGGTCCACTTCAAAAGAACAAACAGCCACCTTGATCTTTCTCCCAACTATTCCCCCCTCTAGCCTGAAGTATGTGAAATCCTAAACTTCTTGAAACTGATCCCATATTTGGAGTGATGGACAAAAATGCTAATCTGGGATCCAACTAAAATACCTGATAGTGAAAGAAACAATTATGCATAACCGAGCCCCCAAAACCCACTTGAAGGATTTCTGCAGGGATGAAAACATTCAAAGGTATACTGATCATGGAGGAGGGCTGTATTCAAGAGAACAATGATTTGGCTTGTAACAGCCTAGAGGAGTTGAATACTTCAGGCAGAAATGCTGCTGAGAGGCTAAAAAAATGCAAACTAGGGAAGTGGGGGCTATTTGCTGCTGAGTTTAAGATAATCAATGCTGGAGCAGAAAAGGGGGGGGGGCTAAGCTGTTTTATCTTGCCAAGTATTACAAGTGGGCACAATCACCTAACTTTAGAAATAGCACCACCAGCTTTAGCCAAGGATTTTAAGCACAACAATTTCAGAAAACCATCCTTTTCACAGATCAGCAAGCCCTCCCTTCAAAGGGAACCCATGCATGCACACACGTGTGCACACCCAAGCACACAGTAACTTGTATATGACTACAGGAAATTGCAGTGCCTATGCATTAAAAGGGAAAAAAGTCATTTACAAAAGCAAAGACCAGAATGCAAAATTAGTCATTTTGAACAGCCACATCTAAAGGGACTTCCTTTTTTCTACACCACTGAACTCAAGTTTGTATTTTTTTTTGTTTTGGTTTTTTTTTTTTTTGGTTTAGTTTTAAGTACTAGCACGTTATTAAGAGGAGAAAAAAACTATATTACATCAAAAGTAGTGGTGAGAAAAGATTTGTACCTGTCTGAATGCCCCACAGACCTTAGTCAATTTAGGTTAAGAATGTACAGTCATTTGGAGAATAAAAAACAACAGTCAAATAACAATAATTGTTCAAAAGAAAAGGCGGCTGCAATCTGAAGAAGACTTTGAACTCTTGTCATTAACACATTAAAGTCTTAGGAAATATTCAGCATCCTTCCTTCCCTATCAGTGAGCTTCCAGCAACCCCGGATTATTTAAATCAAAAACAATGAAACAACAAGCACTTGTTTCAAACTGACATTACTTTTGTTTTTTCTTTTAAGGTCTGCAAGGGAGGCTGGGGGGCCCCACACAAGGAAAGGGGATTATTAGCTGGAAATCAAACAACAGTCTCTCACCCCAACAGGAAAATTCACCATCAACTAGTTGTATACATTCTATGTTACCACCATCACTTCTTGTACTCACGTTTACCCTAAGTCACTTGTCTCTGGATGTCACAAACTGATACATTTCAGACAATTCAAGAAACAGCAGTGCCTGCAAATACCACCAACACCATCCCATCTCCTCCCAGAAAGAATGAAAGATTTCTCCCCTCGATGCCTGAGCAAGAAAACCTATGCTTAGCTCTTAACCTGCATGCACTTTTGAAAAAGAGCAATTAAAAGTTGTGGATGAGCTGCTGAACCTCCAGGATGTTTTAAGCCTTCTGATTATTAATTCTGAGGACTCAAGGCTGGTCCGTCATTTCCAGGAATCCCATCCCCTGAACACTTCCAAAAGAGAGAGAGAGAGAGGAAAAAAAATATCTAGTTTTGACAGAAACACGCCTGGATACACAATGCCCAGATCTTTCTTCTCCCCAAGTACCCCTACTATTTGACTTTTAACCAAGAATACCTAAACCCATCTAGAATACACAACCAGCATGCACGAGAGACTCAGGCTCCACAGCTGAGGATCATCCCGCAGCAATTCCAGAATCATGCATCATTCCCCAGGACTTTGCCTCCAGCTTTTTGCTGTCATTCAAAACACCCAAACTGGTCCAGGCTGTAAGAAACAGTTAATCCCCCAGACACAACACCTTCCTCTTCTAGATCACAAAACAGCCAACATCAAATTTTTCAAAACCAATGCTTCCCTAAATCTGCAATTCCTTTTTTTTGTTGTTTTTGTTTGTGTTGTGTGGGGAGGTGTTTTTTTGTGGTTTTTGTTTGGGGTTGGGGTTGTTTTGCTTTCTTGGCTTGGGGGCGGGGGAAGGGAATGGTTAGCGGAGCAGCTTTATGGACGCACTCACCTAAAACAGGCAGAGTCATCGGGAGCTAAGCTATTTATGCAGGATTCTTAAAATGGCGTCTGGCAACACTGCCTCAGTCCTGGGTGGAAGCTAAAATGGTAGCAGTTTGCCCACTTGCTGCAGCTCTGCTTTAAGCAGCCCGGCCACTGTGCAAGCCACCTTCCCCAATATCAGAACCAGAAGGCACCAACCACCCAACGTGGGGACGCTTTAAAAAAAAAAAAAAAAATCTGCAAGGACAGGGGGAGTTGGTGAAGTCACAGGTTCCTAAGGAAAAGCCTTCCTTCCCTTGCAGCTGAGCCTCCACCAGGAGGCTCTGCCAGGAGGCCCCCCTTGCCCTCCAAGGAGGCGGGTGAAGGTTAGGAGGTCTGCAGCCCCGTGGCACATGCTGCGGACAGACAGGTGTCCGTGCAAAACAGTGTTCACAGGGAGAGGGCTGGGGAGGGAAGGAAGGAAGCCCATTTCCCCTTTCTTGGCCATATTAAAAGCCAGCTTCGCATCCATGCCCAGAAGGAGCTAGGTAAAATGAAAGCGCTTCAAGGACAACAGGCACTGAAAAGCCAAGCTACAGGGCTGCACCCCGGGCGGAGGCCAAGGTAAAATTAAAAGGCGGTGAAGAAGCCTGAAACCGGCCACCAGATACCCAGCCGGTGCTAAGACAGTCAGCACCAAGGAAAGACACCCGGAGTCTGCAGAGACACAACAGTAAGACATTCGCTCAGCCAGTGCACAGGGTACTCACAAATTAGATTTTTTGTCCACCCCCAACGGAGCCCTGAAAATTAACAACGGGTTTTGCAAAACCCGCTTTCAGAGGCCAAACTAATAGCCTCATAGCAGATAATGTCATTTACTGGTACAGGTCTGAGCACTGGCCTCTGCACTGTGGTGCTGCGAGTGGGAGTTTCAAGGTGACTGCTTTTTAGCTCCAGGGGAGACAGGAGGGCATGGTGCCCAAGGCCGTGCCAGGGCAAGGACGGGTGGCTGGCTCCTCGCCGGCCGATAGGTGGGTAATCTTGATGAGGAGGGACAGCCTCGAAGCACAGCTAGCTGCAGGGCTGAAATGGCTCCCGCCTGCTTGTTTATCTGGAAGGAGATTGGGGAGGGGGAAGGGCAGCCATAGCCTAGGCAACCTGAACAGCCAAGGGTGAATCCTTGCTTTTGCATTTCAGGGCGACACAAGGGCTTCTAAACCTACCCCCTTCCTAAATCTCTGCTGTGAGGTGGCAAAGGCACTTTTGCGTGTGTCTTTCTTTTCAGGGTCAACCAGAGGCAAAGCCAGTTCTAGGGCTTCTCAGCTGACAAATGTTTGTTGCCTCTGCCACAGGAGAGAAGGGAAAAGAAGGCAAAAAGAAAACAAAAGAGATCACACATTTGAAGTGGTTGGCCTCAAAAAACCTACCCCTGCCTTCAGGGGATTCTGGGTTACTGTCACCCTGGCTTTTTACAGATTGACTCATTTTCCTCCTCTCCTATTTAAGACCTGAAGCCGGTCACCACTGTTCTCCCAGGGAAAGAAAAGGGGTTACAAGAAAGAAAGACAGAGGGGGAAAAAGCTATTGTTTTCATCCCTAATTTATAATCCAAGATGCCCCATTGTTTCTTTCTTTCGGACTCAAATCTTTGAGCTGGTAATTATAAAAGTAACTGGAAGGGGCTCTAACAGGCTAACCATGTTCACACACAGCAATTAGAAAAACTCTGTAGAAAGTTTACTGAGTGATTATATATAATTAATTCCTAGTTACAGACGGAACACTGACCATTTTCTGGAGCTAATAAAAGCAGTTACTCCCCCTCCCCCACGTGAATGCCACTTAATTTCCCAAAGCAGAAAGTGAATCCATCCTGGAGGGTCTTGGAGGGAAGAAAAAGGGGAGGGGGAGAGAGGAATCAAAAGCTCCAGTGTGTCTGTGTTTGTCCCTTGCAGCTGTGTATCCTCTTTGGGGACTGAGGAGGCAGAAGGAAAAAGGAAAACAGCCCATGTTCTGTCCCTCCCTCTGCAATTTGCAAACGTGGCAGAGAGAACATTCTACCTTGATGTAAATAAGAAAGTGGGGGGGGGGGGGGAGATGCCTTAGGAATGGAATGCAGGAGACTCTTCAGCTTGGTGGATCTGCTTTTCCTAAAAGGAACAAAGATGGTAGAAATTTCCAGAAGGCCCAGTTATCAATTCGGCCACTGCAATTGCCAATCTGTAACCTTTCCTCCCAGGCTATTGGTTCAAAAGCTGGAGAGGAGCCCCATTGGGCTGTTCTGTGAGCCAGCACTGCTGTGCCTACTTAGTCCTGCTGCAATGCAGACATTTATTTCTTCCCCCCAAGTGAAACTGGAAAATAATGCTACTTTGAAACCAACTGACTTTTCACAGACTCATGCTTGACGGTGGCCACAGTACCCAGGAAACTCGGCTAGCGTGGTCCAGGGCTGGGAACTTGCTGGGGCTGGCTGCAGATTTGAAAACAGATCTTGGCTGTGCAAACCTGTGGGAGCCATGTTTAACGTGAGCTTTTAGAGGACAAATCCCTTGCCCTTATGGTTTCCTTCCAGCCCAACAAATACACCATTATGCAGACGTTGAAGGCACCAAACCAGGAATCTTGTGATTAGATATTGCTTCCAGGGAGGCCACAAGAACCTTAGTTATGTAATATCCATTTACAGCCAGGAGATAAGAACAAAGAAAATAGCTAAGTGTCTGAACTTACTTGTGTGGGGCAGTACAACTGTCCAGCTTTAAGTATATAAAACATCATTAGCTCCTTGCAATTTTACTCTAAGAAGCTGGCCTGACAACAGACTTTTCTTAACTTATAATTTGGTACATTTCTCATTATTAAATGAGCCTTTATCCGATTGGTGCTAAAAGCTGGACACTAATTTAAAAGAAAAAAAGATTAGTGACTCCATCAGGTTGGCATAACACAGCAACTGAATATATTTCCAGCATTTACAGTCATGCTGGATTGGTCTCCAGGCTGGAAACTGATGCAGGGAACTTCTAGGGAAATTCTAAAGCGAACACTAAACAAGGGTCCACTTTTTTCCACTCTGAAGTTCTAAATGCCACATTAAGAGATCAGGGGAAATGTACAAAGTAAGAAATAATTCATAAGCAAAGGCAAGCCTGCATACAGATGTGTGTGGGTCAGCCTTGGAAAAGGCCAGGTCTGTTGTGCAGTGAGTCCTGAATCAAATCAAGTTTGCTGGTGGGTGGGATTCTGCACTCAGTGTCAGTATCTTAAAACCTGAGTACTGACACCACTATCCCCACACACACACACCCCCACACCCCCACACACACACACCACCACCATCACCAGCTCCTACCCCACCACTTGCTTAAGGATCTGTGACTCTAAGAACAAGCACTTTCTTATATTTCACAAGCAGATCACCTGCCCAGAGTTCTAGCTAATATCCAAACAAACCCAATTAAAGGTCTCCAGGCAAGTCACAATGAACTGCACGGCTCCCCTGTCTGAGGGTTACCAGGAAGTGTAATCTTCAATCCTAGCTGCAGGTTCTCAGGAAAAACAGTGGATTCAAACAGTCACCTAAAATCAAGACACTATTAAAAAGCCCTTGTTTGGTTCCTGCTCATGAAAAGCCCTCCACTGCTATAGCCAAGACCCCCCCCCACTACAAACAGACCCCAAATGTTCGCCAAACTCTTTATACATGGTCACAGAGGAAATGGATCGCTTTACTTACCCAACATGTTCAAGCAACCGTCTCATTTTTCCACAGTTAAGAAGAGAGAACAGGCTGGCAGATTTGGGACTTGATCAAAAAGGAAATTTTTTTAAACAGTTACAAGGGATTATTAAAAACACACACAACAACAACAACACAACCCAACAACTGAATAGGGAATGCTGTCATGAGCCACAGACGTGATTTTATTTCCTCTGCACTGTCACACAGGAGGGCAGAGGATGACACAATGAAGAAAAAAAAAAAAAAAGGGAAAGGAAAAAGGATAAAAGATACATTAGTTCATTGAAAATCATGCAAGAATAGAGAGCTAAGGGATCCAAAAAAGAGTCCTCACAGATTTATTGCAGGATGTTGTCCAACATCTCCCCCACCCCACCCCCACCCCCTCTCCCCATCCCTACTCCAAAAACTTCCTCCAAAGCCTAGAAAACACTTTCAGAAACATTTGCTGGCTGTAGGCTGGCTTGCAGAAGAACACTCTGTTATCAACAGAAGTCAGGAAAAAAGGCTGAACAATGTAGTTTCAAGTGAAGAAACCCTGTAGGGAGAGAAAAGACCATGGAGAGACACCACCACCCACCTAGGCCCCAGGAGCCAGGAGCACTCCTTAGCCCTGCTCTGCTGAGGGCTTGGTTCTGTTTAAAAACACACATCCTCTCTGGTCAAAACTTAGTCCAGCCTTCCCAGAACCTCTTTGGAGAGGAAAACTTGCCTGCTTTGCTGTCTGCCATGAGCTCTCCTGAGAGAGGAGCCTGCCTCCTGCTCACCTTCCATTTTCTTCCCCCAGCAGGCATGTGACACAGGAGAAGACAATAGTGCAGGGGGGAAACTGCTCAGAGAGAGAGAGAGACAGAGAGAGGAGAAAAAAAAAAAAAAAAAAAAAACAGCTTCTTTTTTGGCATACCAGGATCTAGCTTCAAACTATTCCAAAAACACCATGTCCTGGTGGAAGAAAAGGTGTGCCAGGCCCTTGCCAGTTTGCAAAATCAAGCTATGGCTAATGGCTACTTAGCCATGTGACCCAAGAAAGCAAAAAAATTCTCTCTAAACAGTTCCAAGTTAACCTAAGTGCTGTGGGGGTGAGTGTGGCACGGCCAGCCACAGAGAAATCACACTGCTCGCCCACAATTCGGATGTCTCAGAGGGAGGGGGAGAAAAGATGGTTAAAAAGTCGAGCTTACCTCTGTGGATGCATTGTTAACACTGTGTAATGTCAATACTTATAAAACATGGAGGACAGGCTCCTAGTTCTCACAGAAAAAGGGTTTGGCACTTCGGCTTGATGATCTGGCCGCCTAATAAGAGCTCATCCCCGATTGGCTGGCCCGGCAAATCGGAGTGTAAGGCGGCCCTGGATTGGCTGAAACACTTCCTGAGCGATTATCTTTGTGAGGCTCTGGTGAGCAAGAGCCATCCTGTGCATAGAAAAAGACAGGCTAAGCTAGGCCTTTTGCAGCAAGAAAAACTTGGGAAAGGGGCCCCCAGACGCACTTCTCCCACACCCTGGCTAGCTTTCCCAGCTCGGGCAAACCAGTGCAGCCAGCCTGACCTGCTCCTGCAAAGCCTGAGGCCCAGATGCCCCTGGGAAGAGAGTTTTTGGGGTGAGCTGAAAGGGCTTACCCTCACCTGCCCCCCACAGAAGCGGCTCTCTGCTAGGAGGAAAGCCGGCCCTTTTCTAGAACAATCCAAAAGAATAGTTCCCCCCAGGGGGAAGTGAAGCTGAGAAGTGGGGAGCCCCAGGAATTGAGCCAAGGGGGCAGGAGAAAGGGGCTGGAAACAGGCCTCTGTGGAGCTGGGGGGCAGGCAGACAGGACGGGCAAGCCCCAGGAAACCGCTAAGGAGCAGCCCTGGCTTCTCCCACGACAGAGGATTTGGGCTGCTGAGGGGAGGAGGGGAGCAGAGTGGTCAAGTTTGCATAGTCATTGTCAAAATGCCTCCTGAAAAAGCAGGCCAGAGAGCCATTTTCCCGGCAAGGACTCTGTCCTCTCGTCCCCCTCAGCCAGGACTCAAAGGAAAAGCCAAAATGGGTTCCTGCCTCCCTGCCAGGATGCCAAGGGGTGGCCCCCCTCTCTGTCCTTACCCTAAGAAAAGCCAAATGCGCTCCTAGCAGGCCACATGCCTAGAGCTACAAACTTCCCTTCCCTCCCGGCCCCCTCCCCCACGGCTGAGGCCTGCTAAACCTGTCAGTTAAACAAAAATCTGACTTCCGTATTAGTCTGCGATGCCTTCAGCTTCCTGCCTATTAACCCTCTGTCGGACTCCGGGCCTGGCTGGGAAGGACTAGGCCCTGAGGTCGCAGAAAAGGCCTGTGGAAAAATACCAGCTGCAGCTCCCCCGGCAGATGCAGAAAGAGAGAGAGAGGGAGCCGCTGTCTCTCGCCTTTGCTTCCCAAGGAGGCGTGTACCTTCTGAATCCAGGGCACAGGCAGTGCCTGTAGGTCTGAGAAGCCATTTAAATCCAGAGGGAGAAAGAAAGATGTCAAACTCAGCGAGGGAACAAGAACCCCCATTATTAGTCAGGCCTACACCCACTGCTTGGCCCTTCCTGCCACAATCACCCTGTATGTATGTACTTGGGGAGCTGGGCCCTCGGTGGGCAGACGAATCCCATGAGCTTTATAAGGATTCTCGCTGAAATTTACTTCCACAGAGAACGGCTTCTTTTCGTCCCCTAAGGCAGATGGAACAGCTATTTCACACACAGCCCTATACTTGGCAGCCCCCCATCTCTGGCACTGCTCCCCAGTAAAATATTAACTAGCTTTCCAGAGCTGCTCAGAATGCCACCCATTTCAATAGTATTAGGTGGTCAATGCCTGTTTGCTTCCGAAAACTGTACCCTGAGAAGAAAAAGGCAAACCAAGAGGATCTCAAAAGGGCCATACTTGCTTGCTTTTTCTTCTTTTAAGACAAGGTGCTTAATAAACAAGTTTAAAAAATAAATAAAATAAAGAAGCAGGCTGGGACAACAGAAGCGAACTAAATAAACACCATTCGTCAGAGTCTGGAGAAAGCTGCCAGGTGAGGCAGCCATATTCCAGGAGTTAAAAGGGTGGCCCGGTAAAGGGTCCCGACTCGCCTAAAATTAGGACTCGTGGGCTTTCTTTCTTGTCCCACACCATTCATTCCCACAAAGAACACAGAGCTGACGGCCTGTTCTCCCTGCCCCCGCCCCCCCACATGGACAACAGATGCCCACCGCATGTACATCAATTCTTCCTGCCGGGGAATCTTCTATCAGACAGGAACAAGCCAGGCATCCACACACTGCACTGCAGGGTCCAGGCTTTATGCAAAGGGAGGCGAGTTGATTGCTGTTGTCCTTGTTGTATTTTAGGCTGAAGAGGCCAAGATGCAGGGAGGGCCAGCACTCAAGACAACAGGCCTGGGCCTCACCAGGAGGGAGGGGCCTCCTCTTCCTGGGGGTGGAAGCTCACTAGCTCCGACAGGGAGACCAAATGGGGGACAAGAGCTGGAGGCCAAAGCTAACCATACCATGCTTCCTCCACCACCATCCCATGGGGAAAGCTGTTTGTCTCTGGGGGTGCTGCTTTTCTGGGGGGTGGGGACACAAACATGACTGTGAGTTCGTGGTGGATCTCCTGTGCAGCTACCTTCACGACCCAGTGGGGAAATGAAATAATGCCACGGGTGCCGCATGGTGGATTTTAACCAGGGATTAAAGCTTGTTGCATAAGCAGCTGCAGCATCCTCCCCCTCCCTCCCCTCCTCTCTGATCACTTGATCACTTGAAATGTTTTCTGGGGCAAAGAGCAGGAAGCTGCAGGCTTATTCTGGCAGCTCTGCTCTGTTTAAGGAATGCTGTTGGCATTCGGGTAGGTCTGAGGTTATCTGGAAAACAGCAGTTGGGCTGGGGACAGAGACAAAGGTATGGTGGCAGATGGAATCCTGGGAGAGTGACGGATCAAAAAGGAAGCCCAGGGCAGGCCCACTAAGGGCCACTCCTGGGCTTGACGGCATGTGGCTGTAAGAGGCCAGCCCAGTGTCGCTGGCCCGCATCGAGAGATCATTCAGTGGCCCTTCTCGAACCCTCCCTGCACGCAGTGGTCCCGGCAGCTACCAGAGGCTCACAGTGGGCCAGGCCCTGTGCTAAATCAGCACTTCACACAGACTGACTCCAGGAGACAGGGAGGAGCACGGTTACAGACGTGGAACTGAGCCCAAAGACATGAAGTGAACTGCCCAAGGTCACACAGCTGGCACGAGCCAGAGACCTGACTTCCAACCCAGCTAGGACTCCACATTGCTAAACCCTGTGCCTTCAGTTGCCTCTAAAGAAAGAAACAAAAGAGAAGCATGATTAGTGTTTCTTTAGGAGGGTGACTCGTTTGACAGCGAGTTTTAAGTCCTGAATGATGGAGCTGGGAGATTTTTAGATCAAACTCACCAAAGGCCCAGAGAAACCTCCTCTCTCCCTACAAACCTTCAGCAAGATGTCAAGGGGATCACTCTAAAATCAGGCTTCTATCTTCCTTGAAATCAGGGGTTCTCCACCAGGGGTGGTTTTGCCCCCCAGGCGATACGTGGCCATGTCTGTAGATTACGGGGTTATCATTACTGGCATCTAGTAGGGAGAGGCTAGGGATGCTGCTAAACATCCTTCAGTGCACAGGACAGTCCCCACAACAAGGAATTCTGTGATCCAACCGTCCCATTGTGCCAAGGTAGAGAATCCTTGGCTTCAATGAAAAGGAAGAAAAAAAATCCAACCATTGTTCCTCTGGATAGAAAAGCCAGTACAGGCCTAAACAAGCAGGTTCCTCGGTGATATTAATAAGCAATGAGCTAATAAAAATAGATTAAGCCTGTCTCTCTTAACATTCCCAGGGGACGGAGAGAATCGGGGGACAGAATCAGGCCGAAGGAAGCCAGGCAGAGTCTCAGTGATAAAGCTGGTCTCCAAGGAGAGGAAGGGCTGGCCCCAGCTCCCTTCCCCAGGCACCCTAACTAGGGGAGGCCTGGCCTTCCCGAAACGGCTCCCCGCTGCCGCTGGCCCGCAGCCAGGGGAGCAGGAGGAGCGGCCTCGGCAGGCAAGCTGCATCCCGAGATAGCCTGTTCGGCTGACTGTGAAAATAAGCACACTTGGAGTTATCTGCCTCGAGCCCGCAGCAGGCCTCTCTGTCCGTTAAGGGAAAGGATGGGATTGAGGCAGAAGTGTTTTAAATATCTTGTTTTGTTTTGTTTTGT